TTTATAAACTTATTTCGCAGGGTGCTCACTCAATCCACACGCACACACTTAATTTTACCATCCGCTAACTAAAACTCAGCTAAGCGACAAAATAATTTTTTGAGATATCATAAAAAACATAACTCAGTTTTAGTATATTGAAATGGTTTAATGGTATTTCAGCTATGCATTGTTATGGTAAGTTCCGATAATTCGAAAACTTTAACTAATTTTAACTGTTTTAAAAGAGAATTTTGTGCTCCATCTTTTTTAATTAGTGGACGGCAGGATTATCAGGTAATTAACTAAATTCATGTCATATTTTAACAAGTTATAAAATTTATTTTCCACACTTTTTTGTAATCAATGAAGTATCTATTTGTTACATTCGATTATCTGGCAATAAAAATTAATGTTATTTTGTACTATTTCGCTATTATCTCAGAAAGAGATTTATTATTTTATTGTGTTCTTACTTGTATATCATACTTTATTATGTGACAATCATATTATGTTTTAGGTACCACGGACATCTAACCTGTATGCTCCTATTATGCTACTAGAAGGACACCAAGGAGAAATATTTACTGCAAAATTTCATCCTGAAGGCAAACACTTGGCTTCGGCAGGCTTTGACAGACAAATTTGTAAGTAGAAGAAAATTGTGATAGTGCTTATGTATAGACACACATTTGGCTACTTGATCCTAAGAGTGAATGGTATCTGTTTGTGTAACAAATAGCCTTAAATTGTAATTCAGATGCTGCCAATGTATTCCATTCCTTTGATGCATGCATTAGGTAGGAGGAAGCAAAGTACTTGATGTGAATAAGAGGTATATGAAAGACTTTTTTATACTTATTATTATTATGTATGTGGGGGTCTAGCCATATTTGGCAGTAATCACAGTATTATTATTTATAGGGTGGCTTATTCAGTGCTAAAGCCACCATTCATCACTGCAACCAGCAATTATCTATTATGATAACCAATAGTCGTAAAAAGGTGTTCAAAATCTATACATGTATAGATATAGCTATAAGGAGTGACACACAGTTGTTAAAACTGCCAAATATTAATTAATAACTTATTTCGAACTCCTTATTTCTGGAAATGGTTTTCTGCATCGTAGGACAAAACGACATTGGACATGTGTATTCAATCCACTTTTCACATGACCTTCAATTATGACTATTCACCAGGTCCTATCTGTAGTTTGGTGCCGTAGTCATTGTTCTGATAACTACAGTTCTGTTGAAGTTTTAATAAAAGTGACAATTTGGTTTATTTGTATGCTATAAGTATAGTTCACTTCCCTAATTTTTCAGTTCTATGGAATGTATACGGCCAATGCGAGAATGTGATGCTTATGAACGGCCACACTGGTGCAGTAATGGAGCTGTGCTTCTCCCCGGATGGGTCTCACCTGTACAGCTGTGCTACAGATAACACTGTTGCTGTGTGGGATGTACCTACAGGTACCAGAGTAAAGAAATTGAAGGGACATGCCAATTTTGTCAATTCAGTATCTGGTTTGTACATTTTTAAATTTATATTTATAAGTTTAGCAGGTTTATAATATTCGTCTAGTAGTTCTGTACTTAATTGCTTTGTGCCAGTGTCGGCTGGGGGGTCGGTTGGGCTCTCGGTTGGGGGGCCGTTTGGGGGTGAGTGATCCACACCTAACCAAACCCACCCACACACCCGCTCACCCACCCCCTAATCCACCCCTATCCCACGCCCTAACCACCCCCTAACCCACCACTTACCCAAGCTCTAATCCACCCTTAAACCAACCCTAACTCACCTCCTAACCCACCCCCTAATCCACCTCCTAACCCATCCCTAACTCACCCCTAACCCCCAATCCAATCCCTAACTCACCCCATAAACCCTAATTCACTCCTAACCCCCCCAATCAGACCCTAACTCACCGCCTAACCCACCCCCTAACTCACCCTAACCACCACAAACCAAACCCTAACTCACCCCTAACCCCCAACCCACCCCCTAACCCAACAATTAACTGATTGTTAATTGCGGTTCTCGCAACCAACAATTGATCAATCGTTAATTGCTGTTTCGCAATTGACAATTAATTAATTGTTAATTGCGGTTCTCGCAACTAACAATTGATCAATCGTTAATTGCTGTTTCGAAATTGACAATTAATTAATTGTCAATCTCTAATTGCCAGGACAATTAAATTTTGCCCAACACTGCTTTGTGCCCAGTTGTTGTAGAGAATACTTTAACGGACCGACTGTGTGCGGGCATAACCATGTAAGGGTTTCATAGTCGTTAAGTACTATGGTTTTAAACCATAGATATAGAAAAAAAGGGGAGATATGTAATGACGCTATGTAAGATCGGGTGCCGATGTCGCCACTTTTTAGCTTGTGTGCAATTCAAACTTTACGCTCTATTATACCATAATTTAAAGATTTTGATTGGGTAGGGCTTAAAACGTGACAATTTTAAAATGTAACAAAATTAAACTTACAGGCACTTGAATAAGAGTTATATTACAATATTTCAGTATTTTTTTCATCCTGGTTCAGCCATTCACCAATAGGTGGCGTTTTAGTAAAAATAGTACTGTATATATATATGTATGTAATAGCTAACTATTACACGTTAGATGGCGCTGAAACTCATTTTTCGTTACACTAAGAACTCACGGAGCGGTTTTCACCCGCGTCTGCCGCGGGACCGCGGCATCTGTAGAATGTAACAGTTAAATATGTAAAATTAGTAGCACATTTCACGGCGCGTTTTACGCCTGTAGTGGTGACTGTTGTTCAAGGTTGCCGCGGCAAGGCACTAGTAGAACCGCGCAAGACGCGAAGACCTGCGCGCTTGGCGACAGTCGTCGCCCGCACACTTTGGCGGTCGGTTTAAGCGCAATGTGGCGCAGGCGCACGCAGGGTGAGTTCTCTATAAACCGCGCGACTTGCAATTAACTCCCACTAACTTCGCGGTCCGTTCCGCAATCGCAACGGTTTCGTGCCCGCAACCGCGGCAGCTACGTGCCCGCACAAACTTGCAGGGTCGTGAGTATAGCAATAAAACCGCTGTCTAGCAGCACCGACGGGAACGGATGGAAACCGCTCCGTGAATTGTTAACCTTATTAACCTTAAACTGACGCTAGTCAACGAGTCATGTGGTCCTACCTAATCGAAAGTTGGAAACCATGTGGCTGTTTTTAATATTAAAAAAAATATTCCATTTTTCATACTATATCTACACTGGTACTGGTGTATTATTAAATTAATATATTAATATAAATTATTATTATTTTCTTGATGCCGCCACTAGGCTTGGACCAGTGTCAGTTTTATAAGAATAATATAAAAAATATGGCGATCGTCGTCAGTGTCAATTTTCCATTATACGTTACCACGGGTTGGTGAAGCTGTCACTGTCAAGAGTAAACTCGAACCATCAACGAATTTAATAAATATTTTTTTTTTTATGAAGGATTTATGTAATTTTCTATAATTGTTTTTGTAATTTATTTTGCATGCACAAGTAAAATAAAGCCGATTTTATTTTATTTATTTTTTAAATGCATTTGCTATGGAAATTGAAACAAAGTCAGAAATAGTAGTAAGAAAACCAATCTTTCGATTTTCCTGCAGCTTCAATCCAACCTTCTTTTATTTTGACCTCATTGAAAAAACTTAAAAATTAAAAATACTCTACGTTTAATCTACGAGTATAATGGAATTTAAATATCTTAAATATCTAAAACATATACATTTTTCTTCAAGCAACAGCAACATCCAAATTAACATGAAATTGAAACGGTTGTCCGAAGTATGACTTGTGTTACTCCAAATAAAATGTTTAGTAATAATAATAATAATGAAATAAAATAAATCAATTTAACGTGAATGCTTTTCGCTTCGATATTTTAGGGACTTTAATTACAAAAATTATAGTAAGAAATTCAAACATTTCAGTAAAAATGTATTGTCGATAAACATCATTCTTGGTAAATGAACATCACTATATTTGAATCTAGAAATTTCTATGGAGACAAAAAGAAAACATTGAATAATAATAGAAATAGTAACTAAAAATGCAAATAGCCGGTGGAATGTTATCTCACTGGTTTTCACTCCAATTTTTACAAGGTGTATCGCTACAACTTAGCATTTTCACGTTTTACGAGAGACCTTGTATGTACAACGATCGCCATGTCACTGTGGCGATCGTTTGCAGGCGTGTCACCTCGATATGATCATTTTGAGCATATCGAGGCGATACGAACCACGCCCCCATACCATATCTCCCCTTTATCTATGGTTTAAACATATTCTGCACCTCATCTTTCAGTTACATCTAAATGAAATTGGTATCAAATTCTTATTTTCTACATTTGAAAAGTACTTTCGAAAAACTTGTTTCAATGGAATGTGTAAAGAAGTTATTTATGTGTATTTTTCGTTGTACTGGCCCCAACAAAAAAAAAACAGTTTTTGTAATATTTCTATCATTCTGTTTTTAAGGAGTCCATCCTTAAAAACAGATTAAATGATTAAATTATAACAATTCCTATAAAAATATAAATGACTAGGTTGCATTCAGATTTTTATTATTGTTCAAACAACATTTCCATCAAACTCTATTAGTCAAGACAGTAACGGTATGTCTCACGACACATGGAAGTACGTGATAGTGAACATCAGTTTATAAAAAATTTTTCCTTCTTGTCTTGAGATATCAAATATTATATTCCAGGTGCACGAAGAGGTCCAGAGCTTCTAGTCTCAGCATCTGATGACAACACAATAAAACTATGGGATGCTCGTAAAAGAAATCCTATAGCCTCATTTGACAGCTCGTACCCCGTGACCTCAGTCTTGTTCAACGACACTGCAGAGAAGATCATATCAGGAGGCATCGACAATATCATTAAAGTCTGGGATATACGGAACAACCAAATTGCTTATAAAATCAAAGGACATACAGATACGATTACAGGTAAAGTCATAGATTGGTAAAATGATCTTAAAATTAAGCAATTTTTATAGTGGAAGACCCTGGTAGATATCACGAGCTACACTCCTAATAAAGGAGCAATGACCCGAATTTTGGCAGCTACTTCTTAACCCTTAACTAGTCGCGCTAAAAAAAGTTACACAATTGGTCGCGAGGAGTGCAACACCCCAAATTATACTCGTGAAATAAAATACAAAATACACAAAAAATCAGACAATATTTGAACGTACTTATTTCCTAGCATATAAATGTATTTCTGACTGATAAAACATATTATTAATAATAAAAAAACAACCACTTTCGTAAAAGCTTATTTTCTTCATCTCAATTTTGGCAGACTAGATTCTAGGACATATATGGCATTGTTTATATGAAGGCGACCAGACTGCTCTAGATGCCGATTCAGGATCTTCAATTTTAAGCCTCTTGTGTCGTTTTTTGTAGCGGTCGGTGGTGTGCAAATACCTTCGTTTTCAGTTTAGCTTTGTTCTCATGCACAGTTATGGTCACTTCACAATGACTTCATGATGTTGTTCTCCTTCAAAAGCCCTATCTACGGGCTCATTCAGAGTGCAGGCGCGGGCGCGGCGGCGGGTGCGGGCGCGTGGATCATGGCGTCTTCCCTTTCACAGTGCCGAAGCGGCTACGAGCGGGTAGATCCACACGTCGAAATAGCAAACAGACGCTAGACCAAGCACTGTGAAACGTACGGGCGGACCGAGCCAATAGTGTCGTTACATCAGGGTATTTCTATTATCGAGATAAATAACTATGAGTTTCACGCCGGGCAATATTTTTAAATATTAAAATAAAATAATAAATATAAAATAATTATTTAAAATTTCCTAAGTTTAAAAAGTACATTAAAAATATTTTGATCGAAAAATCATATTACAAAATTGAAGACATAGTGTTAGATAAAGATGTATGGAAAGACGACACGGCTCCAGAATCCACACAAATTTGATTCAAAATGTATTCCATAGCATTTAAGTTTATTTGAAAAGAGCAATCCCTAGAGTTTCTTTCTCGTTCTACTCAGGGAGGTCAGCGTAGTGAACGAGCAGTTACTTAAATGTGACGTTTTCAAGTGTAAATTTATTTTACCTATGGAATAAATTATCTTTGACTTTGACTTTATTCAGATATAACGAGTAATTCTTAATATATAGTGTCAGATGAAGATTGAGAGGTTCTATTCTATTGGTAATTCTATTCTTACACATCCTCAATTCTAATGGGGATTCTTCCCTTTACAAGCCGCCATAACCACCCCTTACAGCTTGCCTGTACCACCATAACGTTTCTTAGCCCCCAGTCATTCCCTCAGGGTTCAGTTCTGTTCTCGTTCTACACTCACCTCCGATTGCTCCACTGGAACAGCCGGAGCTTCTTTCTATAAGTTCTATTCTAATACGTACTAACTTTTCCTCTCTCATCCCACATCTCTTAATAATATTGATTGGACTTACACGATTCTTATGTTCGATGTCGCTTCTCTGAGTTCATCACTTTTCTCACCTTGAATAAACTCCCGCTCTCCCGCCAGACACGTGCGTGCTAAAAATTCCGGCTTCTCCTGTCACCGTCATTTTTTTAAACTCGCCATTACATGACATGGCTGCGAACATCGATATCATTAATTCTGTTCAGAAACTTACCCGATTGCATCGAAACTCGCGTTTGTCGCGACAAATAGGTCTACCCGCGCCCGCTCCCGCCTGGAGGCCGGCGCCGGCGCGCGTGGCCGCTTTGAACGCAACGAGCGTCTACGTACATTTTACGCGCACCCGCGCATGCCGCCACTCTGAATAAGGCCAATAGCTTCTACTTCTTTGTCTTTCAATTGCTGCATAATCAAAGAAAAGCACAACATTACAATACAATGTTTAAAATGCCAATACATTCGTTCTATAAATGTACTACAACATACTTTTCTCCACCATTATTTAAATACATAATAATAAAAAAATATATTTACTTACGGAATTTTGTCTACACAAACGGTCGTATGGGGTGTCACGCACCCCAAACACGCTCTCCAAGCGCAATTATACACAAACGAACCCATATTACGAATGAATTGTGAAGTACAGTCGCGTTTACGAAGCTAACCAGATGACAGGCGCTGTAAGTTCAAGTTTTGAAAACTTAGGAGTCTAGAAACCTGCAGTAGAGTGTGAAACATCCCGCGACCAATTATTAAGGGTTAAGAATAGCCATCCCAAGGGGACACGTTTCAGCCTCCTGGGCACGAAGTGATTCTTAATGTGAAAAGTTCGTATATTTTCTACCTCATCACTGTATGGGGGAATTATATAAAAGAGATCATAGAAATAAAAGAGTATCAGTGCCACAAATGCATTGGATATTTGTTTTTTTGACATCATCAAGCGAATTAAACTCGGTACTCAAGTTAGGGTAATCAGAAATCCCTCGGTGGTGTTCCAGGCATGGCTCTCTCGTACGACGGCTCGTACCTGCTGTCGAACGCGATGGACAGCACGTTGCGCATTTGGGACGTACGTCCTTTCGCGCCCTCTGAGCGCTGCGTCAAACTCATGTCGGGCCATCAGCACAACTTCGAGAAGAACCTGCTGAGGTGCGCCTGGTCGCCGGACGGGTCGAAGGTACACAGAATATAATATTTTTATTTATAGATTCAGGCGTTCCTAAGCGGAAATGAAGGTTAAATCGTGCAAAATAGCTGCATTTAAGAACCTCAGTTACCCTTTTTTTTTACGTGGGGAAATGCTCATGGATATCTCACTGCTGCGGGGGCAATAGATAGATTATGTTGGACTCCTATCGACAAAAACCCCACGGTGTTCCGTCCCTGCACCTTTTGCCGGGACTACGGGAACGCTTTCGCACTCTTCCCCTGTCCCGACGGCGCTGACTCTCGACCGAGGGTCCCTTCCCGTTGGGGTGGAGCTGGAGAAACACCACCCCATTCATCACTTACAGGGGCACGCAGGAACACCGCGCGCGCCACCTCGGGGCCTATACATTACGGGCAGCGTCCACCACCAAAACCCCTGTTATGGGGGTTAAAGGATATGACATGATAGAGCCTTCTCCGACGCCCGCCTCTTCTGTGGCGGATTGGAAGAAGGGTGGTGGCCTGCCTCTCCCGCTCCGCAGCTTCCTTCTGTGACATTACACGTTCGCAGAAGGATACCTCCGTCCACGACCTGTCACTTTCCAGCATTGATTTGATCGATGCGGGGAGTGACAGGTCGTACCCCACTGCGGCAACCAGTTCACGGCGCTCATTGGTCAAGGCTGGGCACACCTGCAGCGTGTGCTGTGCCGTGTCTTCGCAGCAGCCACAATGGTGACGTTCGGTTGTCGTTTCCCTCCTGGCTATACGACACAGGTACTTTTCGAAGCATCCCTGCCCGGAAAGCACCTGCACCTGCCGGAAAGCCAAGGATCCATGCACCCTCCAGTTTTCAAAAACCGGACGGATAGCCTCCACAGTCCTGCTCCCGGTTCTGGGTTGGGTCAGTCGCTCCCTCCACTTTCTAAGCCAATTCTCAGCGACTGATGCGCATGGAACTTCCACACCAGTACTTCCTGCAGCGTGGGATCCTCGCCACGGAGACGGAGGCCAATGCGCCATTGATACATGGCAGCGTAGACCTCCGCCTCCAGATCTCAAGGAGGAGACTCCGCTAACAAGCACGCCGCCTCATAGGATATGGTGCGATATCCTCTGATAACCCCGACCGAGAATCCTCTTGTGTTATAGTATTGTGTTTTCCCTTAAATTCAGCAGATATTTTCACATTTTAAATTATTTATTTACGTTTTTACTAGAAATGAACATGTAATGAATTTAGTTTATTTTACTGCCAAAAATCGTGCATCAATAATGAATTGACAATGAAAACCTTGTCAAGTTTCATCGTAATGTTCAGATATTGTTGTCTCTGACAACACTTCAGAAATAACAATACATAGGTAATTCTTTCGGCACGATCAATTCTTTTGGTGCGGTGTGTGGATCACCTTTAACAATATTATGCATGTAATTGTTATTAGTGTTATTGCTCACTAGATAGCAGTGTTGGGCGTTAATCAATTAAATTTCAATCAGAAATTCAATCATACTAAAAAATCAATTCAATTGAAATCAATTGCAATTAAAATCAATTGCAACGTCGCAATTCATTTTAATTGCAATTAATTTTTAAAATTGTTCTAGGAAACAATTGAAACTAACAATTAAAACCGAAACTACCGAATAAAAGAGTCATTACTCATTTCTAAATTCAAGTTAGCGTGCACGATTTTTAGTGAGTGAGTGGGTGCGTGGGGGGTAGGTTAGGTGGTGGGTTAGGGGGTGTGTTAAGGGGTGGATGGGTCACTCACCCACCCACTCACCCATGCACTCACCTACGCACTCACCCACTCTCTCGCCCACTCACCCACTCACTCACCCACCCACCCACTCGCTCACCCACTCACGCATATCGTTATTGCTCCGCATCGCGTATTTTATAGCGATGCCGAATCAAGCCGAGCGATTACCGAGTGGATACCAACACGAAATCGTATATTTTCCAAACTATTATACCGATATTGCTTCGTGTCCGATATTCACTGAGTGGATATCAACGCGAAACTATTTTTTGTGCGTCTTCGAAACTGTACACTGTATGAAGGGAGGGAAGTTAATTTTTTGATGGAAATTTGTATTCTGGCATAACGCGTTCCCATCCAATGGTGGACGATGCAATTTAATCAATCGGCTACGTATAGGTATCACGGCCCACGCGGGCTATATCCAATAATATAATCGTTTCGAAATCTGCTTCCGAATATCAATAACGGCAATATATCAACGCAGCGCGCACGCAAGCTGTATCCATGAATATACATATAGTGTCAGAAAATATATAGTTTCAAAATCCGATTTCGAATATCGATATATAGTTTCGATACGATATTCAGAAAAATCTATATTACCCATCCCTAGATAGTAGTGTTTCCTCGATAATAGATTAATATATCGATAATAGATCATAGATTCTGCCAACGCCAAAACGACAGAAACGTAGATAAATAAGCAACAAAACAGCTGCACAGGCCCGAAATTTATTATTAGTTATTTTAGTATCTAATATAATTTTTTGAAGTCCAGTTAGCTCGTACGTTACTTAAGTAACTACGTTATTTTTTCGAAATCTATATTATGCCAGTGTTTAAAAAACTGCTCACTTAAATATTTTTCCAGGTGGCAGCAGGTTCATCGGACCGCTTCCTGTACATCTGGGACACCACGTCACGGCGCGTGCTGTACAAGCTGCCGGGCCACAACGGCTCCGTCAACGACGTGGACTTTCACCGCAACGAGCCCATCGTGCTCTCCGCCTCCAGCGACAAGCAGCTGTACTTGGGCGAAATCGAGCACTAGCTGCTGGTACGAAGTGAAGACAAAAACAAACCTCACTATCCGACGATACTGAACACCTCATGTGCTGAAACTAGTTTTTCCGCTAAGTGCCTTCCTTCCACTTGGGTGGAATTGAGAGATATGTGGCAAAACCCAGAGCAGCAGTAGAACTCCTTGTAAAGAGTTCGTCCAGGGTAATAAACCTTACCTATTTCTGCCGCCAAGCAGTAATGTCAGCATTACTATTCCGGTTTTGAAGGGTAAGGGTGCTGGTGAAATTACAGGCACATGGGACTTGTCAACTTGTCTCAGGGTGACTGGCGCAATGGCAGTGCCCCTCAAATCTTCGCGATTTAAAGCTTTGAGTGACACTACAACTGTTATAGGTGTGAAGCTTACCAACAGGCGCACGACTTGTTCGTCCCGTCATTATGTTATAAAAAAAATAATAAAGCTTTTGTGGACCTTTATAAAGACCGTGAGGAGTGTATAGGTATACTAAGGTTTTACAATTAAATAAAATGCTAAGGAATGTCAACAATCTTTATTTACTAGTTAACATTAACCGTTATTGTATCACAGAATGTTATTTTAGAAGTTCCGTTTGTAGCTTGAAATAAATAAACATGGTGTTAAATATACAAGCTATTTAGCCACGAGTCAATAGCCAATGACGCCCCGTCAACTTGCATTTATCTTACTGCAACTTAACTTTCCTAATTTTTTTGGATAATTTTATTGTCAATTTAGTTTGAGTAACATCGACAACAATAAATGGCAACACATATGATGGAGGGAGCATTCGAATGTTCGGATAGAAGCGCGGTATAAAAAAAGATAGAAAATATTTCTGATTATAGTTTGTGCATGTTACCAATTTATGGTTTAATTAAAAAGTGTTATAAATCAAAAAAAAATTAAGGAAAGGAGCTGCCTTATCTACGGAATAAACGTCCCTACCGAAAACAAAAATGTCCACCACAAATGGCGGATTTAGTGTTGTACCATAATCATAGGTAAGTCAATATCGACATGCAAATGTATGGCTTGAATGTTGAAACTGTTGTTACTATGTTTTATGTTTGCAAAGTGGTGTAGTTTACTGTAATCAAAGAATGATTAATACTACGCTATTATTACTAGGCAAGTAATGAGCAATTTTAATCAAAATTAAATATAAAGTTATTTACCAATAAGTGTAACGATGGAATTGCATTATCATGTAATCTAGTTGCATTCAAAGTTCTATTTAAATTTGAATGGAGCGAACAAACGAAGATGGTATTTGATCCAATGTTCATGTTCGGCAGTCCTATAATTTCCAACCATTCTTTCTTTATTTTTCATTTCTTGGTAAACTTAAACCTCGAAGTGAATTGTTTCAATAACATAATATCGATAATATGTCTGCTTACAAGAACAACACTATCTCAAAATAATCGTTATCAACAATAATTCACTAAAACATTTGGCCAAACATTAGTTTGACATTTGATGTACTTCCCTTTGACAACCGGATACAGATATCAAAGGGTACTCCAAAAATGGTAAAATGAGGACAGTTGGAAGGATAGAGGATCGCGAAATCGCCATTTTTTTTGTATAATTTTTATAATAATATTAAACTACCGTACATAGTTATTTTTACTTGACATTGGCAAAATCATTGATTATTTCGATGGGGCCATAACATTTAAAAGAAGAAGAGGACAGTTGGCATTTAAGATGACGTTACGTATTTTCGATTCCCGTGTTTGACATAAATCAATGTAGTGCTATCTCTTTTGGCCTACGACGGCACGTAGTAGTTAAACAATAAAATGTTTATGTTTTCACCATCCAAATGCATCATATACACATAACGTCAGATTTATATATGTCAATATAACATGTCCTTTAGTTTCCATAGTCTAAGGATAATACACGTTATACTTCCACCAGGCGCTTAACGTCAACGATACACAAGCAAAGCATTGACAAATGCGTGTATCCAAACATTTCAAAACACGAGTGGAGGCGATCTGAGGGTCGTATTCTAGAACTCTACTCAATGGTCAAGTCAGGACTTGAGTATGATTCAAAGCAATAGAAATCATACTCAAGTCTTTGCCATTAGGGTCGTATTTCCAGTGCTTGAAATCATACTCAAGTCTGCTCAAATCCTGACTTGAGCATTGAGTACAGTTCTGGAATACGACCCTTAGGGTCGTATTCCAGAAGTCTACTCAATGCTCAAGTCAGGGTTGCACTGGAAACATAAGCACTGGAAATACGACCCTAATGGCAGGGACTTGAGTATGATTTCGAGTGCTTTAAACCATACTTAAATCCTGACTTGAGCATTGAGTAGAGTTCTAGAATACGACCCTAAGGGTCGTATTCCAGAAGTCGACTCAACGCTCAAGTCAGGACTTGAGTATGATTTAAAGCACTAAAAATACGACCCCAATGGTAAGGACTTGAGTATGATTTCTAGCTTTCTAGTGCTTTAAATCATACTCTAGTCCTGACTTGAGCATTGAGCAGAGTTCTGGAATACAACCCGTGAATGAACAAACAAAAGAATAATATAAACCAATTCACAGCTAAAATACACACCGGACGTGACAATTAAGTATTCACAAGCTGAGCAAACAAGTTGACAAAAAAAATGTAAAAACCATATAAATAAAAAAGCCTTACTAAAACAAACTATCGTCATCTACGTCATCATATACATTTTCGTAAAGTACTTATTTTTTATTACACCATTTACATTATGTATGTACTAACTAGCAGTGTAGAAATAATTTTTTAACATTTTGCTAAATTTACATCTCTCGTCAGCCAGCTCAATCTCATACCCCTTCAACTACATTTAGGGGATACCGAACCACACAAACTTTCTGAAGTAACTTCTGGATAAAATCGATGATGCTTTCTCACTTTGTTATATTAGTTTGTAGGAGTATAAAATACACCTTATGACTCCTTGATAGCAGCAGATCTTTGCCAAATTGTGAAACTCTCTTAATGAGAATTAAACTGTTACTTTTATTCTACTTTAATACTTGGAATATACGCCGCCCAGTACTGATCAATCTCTATACTCAACAGTTGCTGCAACCAATATACTCCACATAATAAACAATACAAAACATGATCTCACAAAAATGTCACTAATTTTATTTGCGCCCCAGTGCTTATTCAATATAAAATTTGCAAAAAAATCATTGAATTTTGTCAGTACATTGTTGTAAGCCTGTAGTAAGTTTGTTGAGATCCATATAAACAGGGTACCCTTATCATATTGTAATATTTAGTTTTACAATAAATACCATTGCCATTACTGACAATGAATGGGATAAAAAGTACATAAACCATAGTTTTTTTTACTAATGACACTTATCTATTACATACACAAAGCTCTAGGTGGGGGTAGCTCAGGGATAAAACCAAGTTTAAATTCTACATTGTTGAATTGTTCTAAATCATCAGGGGACAAGTCTTCCAACTTTGAATATATACCATTTTCATCATTATTTTGCTCAGAAATTTGATTTGAACCTGCAGTTTGAAATGGAGAAGTATTTTGACCAAAAGGATTCTGTTTTTGGCCAAATGGGTCCATTTCTTGAGCTGCAGGTCCAAAAAATTGCTGTGATGCACTTGCGAATATGTTTGTTGAATTGGTGTTATTTTGAGGAGAACTAAATGGACTTTGGTTCTGATTAGCCGCTTGGGCAAATATTGACTTGGCGTCTGGTGCTAGTCCAAAGACATTTGAGTTTGTTGGTGATGTAAACGCATTTTGCTGTGCTGCTTGAGCGAATATGCTCTTAGCTGGATCAGGACTTGTTGTGCAAAACACATTGGATGTAGAATTGTCTGGGCTAGCAGGACCAAAAACACTCTGGGCTTTATGTCGAAATATTGAGGTGGCGGCAGCAGTATTTTGTCCAAAATCTGAATTACTCTGAGCAGCTGTTCTGAACACTGTTGCTGCAGACCCTAAGGCTTGGGTCGGTGTGAAAGGAGGAGCGACAATTTCGCCATTGTACAAAGCTCTCAAGGTTTTGATGATTGCTGGTGTGGGCTGTAACAGCCTTTCATACTTGTCTCGAGCATCTTTGAAAATGTTATTTATGTATGCTACCTGTAAGTAAAATATTTAATTTGAATGCATTTTATATAAATTTCAACAGTACATAATCATATAATTTAACTACTTTCAACTTGATTGTAAACCTTATGCCACCGAGATTATTCCACTAATTAAGATAAGAACCCTAGAAAAATGGGAATATCATTTCGGAGAACAGTCGGTGGATAAAGGCCTTGGAATATGGTACAGAACCATTCAGTAATCCACAGTGGGTACCCTGGTTTGATTCTGTAAATATAGCAAGGAAATATCTTGTATCTGCTTTTAGACTGCGTTCTGGTCACATTCCAACTAATAAATTCTTTCATATGATGGGTTTTAAACCATCCCCATTGTGCAGTACTTGCAATAAAATAGACGATCTGTATCATGTATTGGTGGAATGTGACCGTAACATAACCCTCAGGGTTAGGTTAGGGTCACATTCATTCACATTTAGGGTCAGGTACAATGTTTGGGAATGTAATTTTATAGAACGGACAAATTAATTGTTGGCTCAGAGAGCCTGTATGTATTATTGCTCTAAACTTGTACAAGTTTTTGAACATGTCCCTTGAGTAGGGAACCCAGTATTCTTCCCATGAGGCTGACATAGTCACTCAAGGTGGCTAAAGACTTAATAAAAAATAGATTAAAAAAACTACTTTCAAAACATTTGGTTAGAAATTGTTACACATCCTTAAGAATGTAAACTTACAGCTTGTTCAACGTTATTGTTGGCTTTTGCTTCGTAAATAAACAACCTGGTTTCTTCAAAAGACAGATCAGTGAATCCGGGGATTGCAGGGCGGTCCTTGAATGGTGCATAGAACGAGAGCAGCCACTGTCCGCCAACAAGCACCGCCTTTACATCCGAAATCACTTGTGTCACAAGTTGCTCGTCTGTCACGCCCGTCGTAGCAGCTGGAGCCGCGTGCTGAGGTGCTGCAATTCATAAAAAAGCAAAATTTATTTCTAGCTTCTTCATTACTAAAAATAAAAATTCATGAATAACGCTCACACGCTCACACTCAACATAGCCCCGCACTAGGGAAACCCTGTGTCTAAATATTGAGTGATTGTCAGTATAAATAAGTTGTATACTAAATAATCAAAAATAAGGGCCACGAAAATTAATTATTAACACTCTGCACAAAGTTTGGGCTTGTGACTAACCATGGTATGTGTATTTTGATCCATACACATGTTCAAATCGGCAATTTTGCCCGTAACGGCAATGTCCTTGCTGAAAGAATTTACAAACAACCATTTCACTTAAATAAATAAATACTAAAAAACTGTTTAAAAATAGAAATATAACCGCATATCACATTTTTTTTGTACTGTTTTTTCCATTGGAAAAGGCATAGGCACTAATGCGCCATACAGCCAAGACTGAGAGTAATTTATTTCTTGGACTCCATTACAGTCTTCGATAGTGCTTCTTACGAAATGATATAAAATTGAATAACATTCTTGATTTTTCGGGAGATCTGGTAAAGAAAGCAGGATGTTTTCAGGGG